GCGCCCGCCCGTCCTCCCGCGTTTTCCCGGCGCCGGCCGGGGTCGCAGACTCGGCGGAGCACGGCTGCTTGGAGAGAGGGTTCGAATCCGCGCCGAGGGAGAGCGGTGCGCGAGACTGGGAGCGTGGCCGGCGGCGAGCGCAGCAGCGCTCGAGCGCGGCGCCAGCATGGTAAGCGTGCGCTCTGCCGAGGACCAGGGCCAGAGCCGGGGGTGGGGCCGCCGCGGAGGTCGCGCCGTCCGGGCGTCCTTGGCCAAGCCGCAGCCCTTTGCCGGCCGAGGCCCCCGTCTGAGAAATGGGCGGGGGCTAGCAGGGTGCGGGTGCGCCCAGGTGTTTCTGACTCCAGCGCACCGACGACCCCGACGCGCCTCCGGAGGGTCTGGCGGCAGGTTCTATTCCTCTCCACCCCCTACCCCTGCATTTGGCGCAGCGGCCCGGACCCCGCCTGGGTGGGACGGCAGCTGCAGCCCCCACCCCACGTAGCTCGAGGATCTCCTGCAGGTCTGGGGCGTTCTGAAGCTCCGCCACGGCCTTCTGGAGAGAAATTCGGCTAGGGTGCAGACCTCGGCTGCTCCTCCGATCTGCCCATGAGACCCTTCACCTGTCCCCACCTAGATACCAGTCCCCCTTTCGTGTCCCGGCTGCAGCTGACTGCTAAGCACCCCGAGGGCGCCTGTTCCCAGATCGGAACACTGTCCCACGGCTTGGCCACAACCTATGGCTAAAGTGGGGACCATCCTGAGATCAGATCGAAATCAGGGTCACAGCTGTGTCCGAGAATACGGCTGGGACCCACCAACCCCTCACCCCTGCCCAAGACCCCCTAGGAGCAGATTGGGGCGCTCTTGGAGTCTCCCAGGGGTGTGCTCCCACCCTTGCCTCCTGCCAGCCCTCAGCGTGCATGCCAGATAAAGGAGCGAAGGCAGGAGACCGGCCCGCCCGCCCGAGGTGGGAGCAGCCCGCTCCCAGCTCCCAGGGCCCTCCCAGCCACGCCGGGCTTCACTGCGGCTTGCTGTGTGTGGGTGTGTACGTGTGAGACTGTGAATGAACGCGGCAGCCGGCTCCCGCCACCGCCTCTGGAGCATCATCCAGGGCTGGGCGTCCACACATGCACAGTGGTCCCACTTCTTCTTCCTCACCCAGGCCGGCCAGGCTGGAGGGAGTCCAGGTTTGGGGTGGGAACTGGGATCCCAAACTTACCTGCTAGCAGATCCCCTTGGGACATGAGAGAGAGATATGATGGGGGTGGGGGCAGAGAGGCCTGGGCAGATATACAGTATGTGTTCTCCTGGGGGGCCAGCTGGTGACCCGAGGCTGGGACAGCGTGGGCCATCAGTGAGGATTTTGTCCAGGAAGTCCAGATTGTTTGGCACTCTGGGAACTTCCTCTTTCTGGGCCTCAATTTCCCTGTTTGTGAAATGGGGGTGAAGGTAATTACTGTCCTGCCTGACAGCCTAGAGGCTGCTGTGGATATGAGATGAGATGATGAAATAAAAGGCCTTAAAAAAACCCCAACACACTGGAGTGCTGAGCAAGTGTGGGTGACTACTATAGCCTCACACGAAGTCACTCCTGCAGGAGTCTGACCCTGAGCTCCCCCCCAAGTGCCTCCTTCCTCCCCGGCCCCCCTTACTGCCCACTGCCCCCTCCTTGAGCTGGGACATTCCAATCTCATTCCTCTGGGGCAGCTGCAGACAGCTAAGCTAAGCAGATCCCCCAGCAGGTGGTGGGACCCTCCCTTGGGGCCAGAGCTGGGGAGGGGCTAACTTCCTCCAGGCTGGCCTGTGAGCTCCCTGCCACAATGGGGGCTGGAATGTCCACCCCAGAGGACATGCAAGGTGGGGTCACCGAAGGCTTCCTAATAAGCTACATAGACTCTTTAAACCCATGTGTTCTCTCTGGGCAGCTGAATGGGGCCTGAGCCAAGTATTCCACCTCCTGAAGAACGGGAAGTCCTTACCTCCTGCGTGCGTTCTGAGAGTGTGGTAGTGCCCAGGTTAGGACTGACCCAGGGAGGCACCCACTACTGGGTGCTGGCGTGCGCCAAGCTAATGGTCTCCACTGCTTCGAGGCCAGTTCAGTCCCCCAGGGCCCAGCTTCCATCTCCACCAGGTTTATCGTGTTGTGTCCAGGGCTTTCTGTGCTGGAGGGTCAGGTGATGACAGTAGATGTGAGGGGCCCTGTTGGGGCCACCTGGGGCTCAGAGAGAAATGGCTTGTGCTGCCCTGCTGGGGTGGTAGAGTGTCAGCTCTGGGCAGGGAAGCAGAAGTTCTTGGAGGAGGCGGCGGCCCTGGGCTTTGCTCTGCCGGTCCCACTGAGGCAGCAACCCAAACTCTGTTGTTTGCCCCTCATCCCTCTCCCGAGTCCTGTCCCGCCCAGCCATACCAACCCCCTTGGCAACGGGGAGGGGAGGAATGTGCGAGTTGGGGGAGGGGTGGCAGTGGGATGGACCCCTTGAGGAGGAGGGACTAGTCCCTAGATGGAGACCTAGGCCAGCTGGAGCCAGGGGCCTACTGCTAATAGGTCACCTCAGAGGGGCAGGAGGGGCGAGAACGTGCCTCCTTGGCTGTTTCTTTTTTTTTTTTTTCCTTGGCTGTTTCTAACTGGCCCCCTGCGCCGCCGGCATCTAGCTTAGGAAGGACTCCTGGGTCTTCATGCTGGTGTGTGTGTGTGGGTGGGGGGGATCGATCGATCAGTGCTGTGTGACAGCATCTGGCGTTGAGGGCGACTGTCCACACCTTGGCTTCTAAGGTAGCAGGCGAGTGCGCACTGCTGAGGGGGACTGACTGTGGGCCGGTTATGTGTGTTGTATGCCCTGCTGGGACCAGTGACTACCCCTCCTCTATGGATTTGCGCTCCCCCCTCCCCCCAGCCTGAAACCCATCATGGGGAAAACGGGGTGTCAGTCTTCTCAAGAAGTGAGGCACTGCCCAGCGGAAGGTGAGATGGTATGTGTGGAGTGAGGTAGGCGAATCTGGCCCCTCAGCCAACATCTCTGCTCCCATATGCTCACAGGACTTACAGTTCCAAAGTCCTTTCACCTCCCTTGTCCCCATAACTGTCACAGGAACCCCACAGGGCAGGCAGAAACCCTCTAACGTTTCCAAGCTGGGGAAGCTGAGGCAGGGGCCCACAGAGAGAGTGTAGAGGGCAGGCTGGACACCAGGCTGTTTGCTGTTCTTCTTCCCCGGCCCCTCCCAGGCACCATACGAGTTCCTTGTGTGTGTCTGTCACTGGGGGGTTGTCACTGGGGAGAGGTGTCAGGGTGGGGGGCAAGATGTTTGAATGCCAGTTCTTCTGCCCACGAATAACAACATCCTGGGGTTTTAAGTCAGCCATTCGGGAGCCATGTGCTGAGGATATGACCAGCTATGTGACCTTGGGCAAGTCCCCCTCACCTTTCCGAGGCTGTTTTCACCTAAAAATAGGAACAATACATCTGTACTCAGGGCCACATTGCCATAGGAGCTCAGCACCTGTGAAGCCTTACCTGTCTCAGCACCCCACCCCCCTCTCCTCTGCGTGTGTGTGTGTGTGTGTGTGTGTGTGTGTGTGTGTGTGTGTGGTGTGGCGGTGATATCCTCAGAGGAGCTGCACACTCAGCTCCACCCCCATCTCAGGCCTGGATGTTCCCAGAATGAGGTTGAGGGCTACAAGGTATGAGGGGTGAAACCCAGCCCTTCCTCTCTCCCACAAACACAAAGCCTGGAAATGGTTGAGGAAGATGGAGCCTCCTAAAGACCATTGTTTGGGGCGGGAGCGGGTGTCCGGGAAGCACAGTAGGTGAGTGGCAGGGACTTGCAGCTGCAGCCGCCGGGGCCGCCGGGTGGGAGCTTGTGGGTGTGAGTAGGGAAGAGAGCTTCTCTTCAGCCAGTCAGCCAGCAGAGACTTCTGAGCCAGGACGGCAGTTCAAACCCATCAGCCGCTCCAAGGGAGACTTATGAGGCTGTCAACCCACCCTCAGGTCTTTGAATCGAAACTGACTCAGTGGCAATGGATTTGGGTTTTCTGGTGACTTGGGGTTTTTTGTGGTTTTCTGGAGCCTCTGAGGGATTCCTTGGGAACCCAGTGCAGCTTCTGCGCTCCAGAGTGCAGGGCCCAGCCCTGGGGGGTGGGAGAGGCCAGCCAGCCAGGTCACATAGGTCCCGGATCACACTAGTGTGGTGTTGGGTGCTGGCCTGTGTGTCTTGTGCTATCTCACCAGCGGGTAGTGCAGGTTTGGCATATGCATTGGGTGACACTAGGGTGGGGGTGGCGTTTGAGGGGTGCCAATGAGCAGTTTCCCTCGCCAGCTGTGAGAGGTCATTCAGCAAGTTAAAACTCATTACCAGGGACACGAATTCCTGTAGCTGTGGTTGGTGTGTGTCCGTTTTATAGAGAGGACGTGAGGCAGTGACTTAGTGCAGTCACTCACTGATGGCAGGGTCAGGGTCTGGGACCCCGCCCTGCCTGGTGGTGGGCTCTGAGGGCTGGCAGAGCTCGGGGTCCCCTCCCTTTGGCCGCCCTGCACAGACATGTACACCTGTTGCGGAAGCCGTGCCCATTGTTCACTCCATCCTTCCTCCCCTCACCCTTCCTGTTTGTATTCTTCCTGCTGTAGCTCCCCCCCACCCCCGCCCGTGGGTCCCACCCCATCCAGATGTTTCCCTTGGGGAACTCTGACCGTTGGCGGAAGAAGGGCTGAGCGAGATGTTCCCCCCTCCTGAGGTGGGGAACGCAGACCTGGTAGTGTAGTGCATCAAGTGCTGGGCCGACCGTGGAAAGGGCTGTGGTTGGGACTCACAGAAAGAGGCCGCAGGCTGCATCTGTAAGGAAGCCCCGTGGAGCAGTGCTACCCTGTCCCCAGGACCAGTGGGTGGGCTCCTTAGCAGAGGGTTATGGATATGGTGAAGGGAGGAAAATGGATTGGAGGGTCTGGGGTGCCCTGTGTCCACCCCAGATTTGGTGGGGGAGCCCAGGAGGAGAGTAAGGTCAAGGTTTTACTCAGAGCCTAAATCCACCTCCACCCTCTGCTGCTTCTGTCTGGGGTTGGGGGAGCTCTCCTGTTGCTTCAGGGTCACAACCCGCCCCCAACACCCATGCACTCACTCAGACTAAGACACACACCCTTGTCCTGTTCCTTAGGCTTAGGGACTCAGTCCCACAGAGAATGGGAGTGGCAGGGTGGCACGGAGGCATGTGGATTTGTACAGACCCCTTTCCACTTCCCAGCTTGGGAACCCTGGGTATTGCTCTGGGACCCACATTTGCCTGCCCCTGGGTCTGGGTCAGGTGGGCAACAGCCTCCCGGCGCAAGCAAGCACCTAGACTCAGGGATGTGATGGGGGAGGTGGGAAGCCAGTGCCCCGCCGGCCCTGATGAAACCTCCTGATCCCCAGAAGCAGCTGCTGCCTGTGCCTCGCTGACACTTCATGGCCACAACCCCAGGCCCTGCTGGCATTGCCATGGGCAGCGTGGGCAGCCTGTTGGAACGGCAGGACTTCTCCCCTGAAGAGCTACGGGCAGCACTCGCGGGGTCCCGGGGCTCCCGCCAGCCGGACGGTCTGCTTCGGAAGGGCCTGGGCCAGCGTGAGCTCCTCAGCTACCTGCACCTCCCGAAGAGAGATGGCAAGGCTGCCAAGCGGGCGGCTCGCAATGAGTCGGCCGACTACGCCACCCTCTACTACCGGGAGCATCCCTGGGCTGGGGACTTCAGCAAGACCTCGCTGCCCGAGCGGGGCCGCTTTGACAAGGTGTGCGCCTCTGTCCCTGCCTTTCCTTTGTGGGGGGCCCAGAGATGGAGCTGGTGGGGATCTGCTTGGTGACCCAGGGGCTAGGGTATTGCCCAGGCTAGCCTGAGCTGGGGACACAGGCAAGCTTTTCCTGGAGGACCCAGGGTGGGGGATGGTGGGGAAGTGTGGGAGCATCCGCGTGGCCAGCCTGGAGCCCAGAGCCTCATGCTGTCCTCTCTCCGGCAGTGCCGCATTCGCCCGTCTGTGTTCAAGCCCACGGCGGGCACCGGGAAGGGCTTCCTGTCCATGCAGAGCCTGGCAGCCCACAAGGGCCAGAAACTGTGGCGCAGCAATGGCAGCCTGCACACGCTGGCCTGCCACCCACCCCTGAGCCCGGGGCCCCGGGCCAGCCAGGCACAGGCCCGGGCCCAGCTGCTGCACGCCCTCAGCCTGGATGAGGGGGGCCCTGAGCCCGAACACAGCTTGTCGGACTCCTCCAGTGGAGGGAGCTTTGGCCGCAGCCCCGGCACCGGCCCCAGCCCCAGCCCCTTCAGCTCCTCCGTGGGTCACATCAACCACCTCGGGGGCTCTCTGGACCGGACCGCGAGGGTCCCCAAGGAAGCGGGGCCACTGGCTGTGCTGAGCTGCCTGCCTGAGCCACCTCCCCCCTACGAGTTCTCCTGCCCTTCTGCCGAGGAAGTGGTGGCCGCTGTGCTGCCTGAGACCTGCGAGGAACTCAAGAGAGGCTTTGGGGATGAAGACAGCTCCAATCCCTTCACACAGGTGAGGGAGGCCCCTTCTCTGGGATATGGGATGGACTGAGGGGCCCCCAGCCAGTGCACCCACATGGCTCTCAGCACAGAAGAATAGGAAACAAGGTGACTCAGCTCCTGTCCCCCACCCCACACGTCACCAGTACTCTGCGTGGGCATCAGGCGGGACGGAGAGCAGTCCCCTGACAGCAGGGCCCTGTGTTGTGGGCACTTTGCCTTTGGAGGACACCCCAGGTCATGCAGCTGGGAGCTGTGGGGTCGGGTACAGGACCTGAACCCTGGATGAAATGGGATGTGTGTGTGTGTGTGTAGGGTGTCAGCTCTGTGAATGAAGGGTTCTTCGTGGGAGGCTGGATGGACTGTGGGCGGCTGTCCACAGGGTTGCAGTAGCCCTAGCTGCCTTCCTGTCCCCTGGCAGGTGCTGGAGGAGCGTCACCGGCTATGGCTGGCCGAGCTGAAGCGTCTGTACGTGGAGCGGCTGCACGAGGTCGCCCAGAAGGCCGAGCGCAGCGAGCGCAACCTCCAGCTTCAGCTGTTCATGGCCCAGCAGGAGCAGCGGCGCCTGCGCAAGGAGCTGCGGGCTCAGCAGGGCCTGGGCCCTGAGCCTCGGCCCCCGGGCACACTTCCAGATGGTGACCCTGGTGGCCGGCCGGAGGAGGAAGCCCGGTGGGAGGTGAGAGACCACAGATGCTCAGAAGAGCCTCCCCGCCTAGCTGCAGGCCCCGTCCTCTGCCTGCCCTCACCTTGCCGGTCCTGTCCCCCTCCGCAGGTGTGCCAGAAGACTGCCGAGATCAGCCTCCTGAAACAGCAGCTGCGGGAGGCCCAGGCGGAGCTGGCCCAGAAGCTGGCAGAGATCTTCAGCCTTAAGACGCAGCTTCGAGGCTGCCGGGTGCAGGCGCAGGCCCAGGACGAGGAGGTGGCCCGGCTGCGGGAGGCCGTGCGGAGCCTGCAGGAGCAAGCCCCTCGGGAGGAAGCCCCTGGCAGCTGTGAGACCGATGACTGCAAGAGCCGGGGGATGCTAGGGGAGGCCGGCAGCAGCGAGCCCCGGGACGGGGCCAGAGCCGAGCAGCTGTGGGCTGAGCTGCTGCAGGAGCGGCTGCGGGGTCAGGAGCAGGCTCTGCGTTTCGAGCAGGAGCGGCGGACGTGGCAGGAGGAGAAGGAGCGGGTGCTGCGATACCAGAGGGAGATCCAGGGGGGCTACATGGACATGTATCGCCGCAACCAGGCACTGGAGCAGGAGCTGCGGGCGCTGCGGGAGACACCCACAGCCTGGAGCCCTCGCCTGGAGTCCTCCAAGATCTGAGGCCAGTGGAAGCAGCTGACAGAGCTGTCTGAAGATGGCCTGGGCAGCCAGCCCCATGGCGCTGGGCCCCTTCCCTTACCCTGAGTCCGGGGCCTGATCTTCAAGGCTGGCCCCGGTGTGGGGAGACCCATCTGGAGGTGGGCTTCAGGGGGCCCAGGAGCTAGACAGGTGCCAGGAGACGAGCACCCAGGCAGGGCCCAGGCCAGCCCCCTGGAGGGGGGTGGCACAGGGACGTGATGCAGGAGAGGGGTCCACGTGAGGGAGGGCGGTTGAAACCAGGGCTGAGACTTCCCTGTAAGGAGGCTGCAGTGGGCACCTCGGCCTCCCCCGGAATAAAACCAGGTTTTCTACGAGGAAGCCCTGGCTGATACATCAGGACTGGCCCTGGCCTTACCCTGAGACTAGAGGCTCATGCATTGTTGGGGTTGCTGACCTGGGCTTCTGGCTCCTCTCAGAGTAGGAGAGCTTGGGGAGGGGAGGGGTGTGCCCGAGTCTGGGTGTGAAGCTGCTGGGTGCCTGGATTTGGGGAGTGGAGGAACCTCTCTCCTTGCCCCGGTCCTGCACGCTTCCTCGGCGGCCGTGTGGGTTGGGAGTTCTTCAGCACCGGTGGGATTTTGGAGGAGCAACAATATCGGGGAACCCCGGGAAGAACAGGGCAAGTCAATCAGGGCATTTCTAGAACAGGAACCATTTCTCCGGGGGAAGTCTGGGCCCCAGGTGCCTGGGCCCTGTTGGCTTTGGGGCTGGCTTAAGACAACTGCAATTTGAGCATCCAAAGGAGAGCTCGGCCCTTCTCTGAACCCATTGTGGGAGGCGAGGAGGGGGTGGCTAGGCCACTACAGGGGGAGAGGCAGGAAAGCTGGTGGTCCCTTTGGTAAAGGGCCGTCCCTACAGAAGTACGAACATTTCCCAGCAGGCGGTGTGGACCGTGGGGACACTTTTCCTCAGGGGTGTGACAGAATCGGATTTGTATTCTGGAGAGATCCCTCCTAGGGAGGAAACGGGCCTCCTGTCTCCCCCATTCTCTCAGCGTCTTTGGGGCTAGAGCACCTGCGTGGAGCACTCACAGTCTGTGGGTGCTGTGCGGCCCCGAGCTAGGCATGTTGGGGCCACAGGAGAAAATGTGTTTGCTTCCTGCTCCCAAGGAATGCACGGCCCTCTCAGCCCCTTCCCTGGTTTTCCTCTGAATCTCTTCAGGACACCCTCACCCCCACGACCTCACCCCCTGGTTTGGTAGGCCCCCCGCCCTCCGCCACCAGGCCAGCAGATGGGCCCTGGTGAGGGAATGGAGTCAAGAATTTAGAGGGATGACTGGGAAGATGGCGTGCTCATGCTTCTGCCTCTAGCTTGGAGAGGGGTGTGTAAGCCTTCTGTCATGGGGACGGTGTTTATAGCTGTCAGTGGTGGGTGTGTGTAGAGGTGTGTACTGTGGGTGGTGGGTGTGTCCAAGGGGGTGTGTTTGGGGCATCTGGAGCTCCTGGGTTGGAGGTGAGAAGGGTTGCTTCCGGGCCTCACCCTTCTGCCTGGCCAGGCCTGGCTGGAGACTGGTCAGGATGGACCCCTGGGCCTGGCAAAGACCCGTCTTAGGCCCAGGTCTCCTTCCCAGGAAATGGAGAGCCCTGAGTGACCCAGACTTGCCATTCAACCTTAGTGTCCATGTCACAAAGCCCTCCAGACAGGTCTCTGAGCTAGTGGAGATCACCTTGCCCCGGTGCTGGCCTGAAGCTGGGTCACCCATTCCCACGGCCAGCTGGTGGTCAGGTGGGTGCCTTTGCGGCCCTCGGTGGCCAGGGCCACCTCTTGGTATACCAGCCTGTGGAACAGCTCCCCACCCAGCAATTAGAGAGCTGGGCTGGCTAGTACAGCCGGAGGGGGCTGGGTGGGCGGTACCAAAACTTGGCAGCTGTGCCAGAAACCACAGCTAGGCCCAGATGTGGGGGGAGGGTGCTCCAGCCTGAGCTGGGCGGCTCACGGGGAATTGGATCATCTGTCTGTGCCGGGCAAACCAGTTCTTGGTCCCCGAGCCGGCTGGGTGGCTCCAGGGCCAGCTGATCGTAGGTGCCAGTGCAATGACAGCGAGGACTGCTTCAGGACAGCCCCGCCCTCTTGTGCCTGGTGGGCCCTGTGGCTCCCTAGCTGGCCTCTCCCCTCTGAGTCCAGGAGCCCAGCATCTAGTGCTGATGAGTTCCCGCATGGGGCTCCTGGTCTCCCATCGCTCCTGCTCCCCACAGTCGAGCGTTCTATTCCAAGCTCCCATAGCTGGTTGGGCCCCTTAGCCCATCGTGGAGGCAGGCCTCCGAGGTCACCAGAGTTGTGCCCTCTTTCCACTCTAGCCGCCCCTTATAGCCCCATAAGGGTTCCCTCTTGGACTCCCATCACTGCCACTGCCTGGGTACCCACTCTTCCCTGTGCCCACAACTGTTCTGGCTCGCCACTGGCTTTCCCTGAGGCCCTCCTAGGCTGTCTGTCCCCATGAGCTGTGGGCACTGTTGGCAGAACACCTTGTGTGTTGATCTCTGCTCAGAGTCCTGTTCTGGTCCAGCCCAGAAGACTGGGGGCAAGTCGAGTCCAAGTGACCAGGTTTCCCCTGACCTGGGTGGGACTGAGTTGGGAGTGCTTTGGGACTGAGGCTCCAGCACTAAGGTTTGTGTCCTGCTGGTGGCACCTGCCCCATGCCAGGCCCTGGGTGCAGATGGCTCCAGAAGCCCAGTAGCTAATCCACAAATGAAGGGTCTCGGGTGAGGACTAGGGGGAATTGGGGCCCTCTGGCTCCTTGCATTGGTTGCAATAGCCCCTGGGTGGGTGAGGAGGGCAATATAATTATGAGTTAGTGAACATTTTGGGGAATGACTGGGACCAGGCAGGAGATGGAGATTCTGGAAGTGCTTAGCGCTGGAGGGGAGGGGAGGGGACTACAGACAGACCAATGAGTGGCTTCTGGAGCAGTGAGGCCGACTGCCCTGGTGCCAGGGCACGCCTGGGGGTGGGGAGATTCCTCAGACTGGGCGGCAGTAGACACTAAGGAAGCTTCCTCCAAAGAGGGTGCAGGCCCCACAGGTTCCGTTCAGACGGAGTCTCTCCCGGCCCTGATGGATGGGGCTCAGACCTCTGACTCAGACAAGGAAAAGCATGTCATGTTTCTTGCACCAATAAAAAAGGTATCTTCCAACCAGAGGGGTGAGGCCTAAGTGTTGCGGGCGGTCAGAGGGGGCTATTTGTCACATCTCTCCAGGCGAGGCTGAGGAGGGGACAGCAGAGATGGCCTTCACATAGGCTGAGGGGGTTCCTCAGGGTAAGTATGGGCACGCCCTTAAGGACACTGTAGGATGAGTCTAGGTGTGGACAAGGAAGACGTGGGGCAGGTCCGGAGGATGGGGTCTGCTTGGTTGGAGGGCGGCACGGGGAAGGGAAGGATGGACCAGAAGACAACCGATCCCAGACTGCTGATAAGCTTCACCATGTACCCTGTGGGTCCTGGAGCGGCCGAGGGGAAGGGTGCAGCCGGAGACCAGCTGTCGCACTGGCCCCATGCTCACTTAAAACAACAGGCTCTGCATTTTCATTCTTCCCCCAAACCAAACCCACTGCCATCAAGCGACCCTTGAGACCATTTTGCACTAGGCTGCAAAATATTTAGCTGCTCCTAGCCTAACCCAAAATCTTACATGAAGGAGGAGACCAAGGAAGAGGGGCAGGGGGTAGGTTAGGAGCCACCTGCAGGAGACAAGCGAGAAGGGGAAAGGGGAGGTGGCCTGAGCAGGTCCTGGGCCTGGTCATGGCGACAGGGAAGGCTATTTGGTTCCCATGGACCGAGCCCAGGTTCTGTGGAGCAGAGCCCACAGTGAGACAGCCACACTGCCAGTTCTCAGGGACTTGTCTAGATTCTTCTAGCACCTTCTTTAGGGCAGTTTCTGGGAAATAATGAAGGCATATATGCTATAGATATTCAGCAGGCACTGCTGGGTTTGCCCTCTCAGTTCAATAACATCCCCCTGCCCCCACTTTTTAAAAGTTGTACAGTCAATGTGCTCTGTATGCTAAAACTGGGTTAGCAGCCAAGTACTTCAATCATTGCTCCTTGGAATGAGTTGATATGAAGTCAATGGTACACAAATCTTTGTGTACCTGTTCCTCCTCCCATCCTTTCCCCCTGCCCATGTAAAGTGTAATTTGCATACAATAAAACACATCTCTTTAAAAGATATATATGTATACACACACACACACACACCTCTTTTAAGTGAAGTTTGTAGAGTTGGACAAGTACATAGAATTGTCTACCAAACGGGACAAGCAATAGAAGTGTACCATCACTCTCCAAACTCCCCCTCGCTTTTCTCCCATCCCAGTTCCTGGCCATCCTGTATCCTTTGTCTCTGTGACCTTGGTTTTCTTTTTCCTTTTTGTGAGGAGTGTTTAACCCCATCACATATTAGAACATATTGCCAAACAGCAGGTAAAACAGTTGGGTGTTAGTGTAGGAATAACTATATATTCCTCAGTAGAATCGAATGAAGAGGCAAAAGTAGTTTCCATTTAGTAAGACGATCTGTGATCAAGGGCTTTGAAACAGAGGCCCTGGTCGTGTAGAGAGGGGTGGAATGCCCCTGGCCATGGCCCTGTCACCCTGCAGGCCTGGAACTGAACTCATCCTTGAGGCTCAATTTTCAGCCAAACAGGAGACAGGGATCTAAGATAAACAATAATGGAGAGGTGGTATGAGTCTTTATTAAGGAACCATTCGATATCAAAAGGGCAGCATTTGCCCTAGGACAAAGTTTAGGAGTTTGGAAGGGTTAGGCAAGGAGGAGGAATGGAAACCGGAAACCCAGGGTGGAAGTGTGAAATAATGAGGCCATGATGTGGGCATTGCAACCAATGACATGAAACAAACACGTATCGGTTGTTGAATGAAAACTGGTCTGTTCTCTAACCCTTCACTCAAGTCACAATAAAAAGTTAAAAACAACTCCCTAAAAAAAGGAAGGACTATTTAATAAGGAGTATAGAGGTTAACTGGATACTTTTTTTTCATTGTTTCTAATTATTGACTTTTCAAATTAATTTAATTTATATTTTTAATTTAATCACTTTATTGGGGCTCATACAATTCATCACAATACATAGATCACTTGTGTAAAGCACACCTATACATTTGTTGCCCTCATCATTCCCAAAATTCGCTTTCCTCTTGGGTTCCCGGAATCAGCTCATTTTCCTTTTTCCCCCCCCCCACTCCCCCCCCCCTTTTTATTTTGCGGGAGGGTGTCAACATTTTGCATCAACCCTTGCCAAAAATAAAATGGAAATGTGGGGAAAAAATTAAAATGGAAAGGTGAGTTTAAACTAAAACATAAAATTGTTAAGAACAAGCAAAAGAGTGAAACAGACTATTGTTGGATTAGTGGGGAACTAAGTGTCTTCATTCTGAGGGGGAAAATGAAAACCCTAATAGGTGCAGATATCAATTATGTCATAGAACATAGTGGAAAGTAAAATCAAGATGAAGCAGCAGCTTTGATGGACACGGTCCGGTCTGTCTTCCTGGAGACCACCACTTGATTTCCTTTCAAATACCACCAAGATGCAGAGCAACTGGGAGAGCAACAGCTCGCCCAGCTCACTCCCAGCCGGGCGCAGCACGAGCAGGTCCTGGGGTTCCAGACCAGAAGCGGGGAAGCCACGGGCATTGCGAAACCCTGTGAGGTCCTGTCTGCTGGGAAGCAGCGGGCCCCGCGGCCCCCAGGCAAGGTTCACTGAGCTCACCGCCTCCGCAGCTCCCCGCGGCGTGAGGCCCAGACCACCCAGGCTCCCGGACCAGCCTTTAGGGCCCATCTGCCAGCCACAGGGGGCTCCACTCAGCTGGGGATGCCCTCCTCAAAGCCTGATTGAACCCATACATTTATGAGCCGCAATTTCCCACTCTTTAGCTACCTGGGAATATGTTTGAGAAAATCGTGTTCTCAGTACGTATATGGGTTTTAGGGGAGCCCCAGCCCCAACAGAGCGTTTATTCTAGAAGGGGCCTAAGGGGAATAGAGCCAGGGAGGGAGACTGAACAAACAAAAGATCATTTCAAGTCAACTGCTATAAAGAAAACGGAATTGTGCAAGATTAGGCTGTTTTTGTTTTTTGGAGGGGAGGGGAGGGCTAGAAGAGAGGATACCTTTGAAATAGGGCTGTGCCCAGAGATCCCAGAGGTCTGTGTGAATGGCCTTCTTCACCCCTTCCCTCCAGAGCAGAAACCTGAAGGCTAGAAGACTCTGTCCTAGTTGGGGCTTGGGGGGTCACAGCTTCCTCCCCCGTTCCTAACCCTCACTTTCTTTCCCTAGAGCTGAGGTGTACCGATGCCCCATTCCCCACCTCCTACCAAGGCGAGTCGAGGGCAAGGTTGAGGGCGAGGGCCGCTAGGTTGGGCTAAGTCCTTCCAGCAGTGTGCAATTCTGCAGCTAGATACTCTGTGGGTAGATTAAGTAGGGTTTAGGAGTCCAGCCAAACCAGGGCACAAAGATTTCCCTTTGCAACAACGTTGCTGTGTCAGTTTATGAAACAACCTCCCAGAGCCGGGGGGCCATGGGGGAAGGCTCCTTGCTGGATCCCTAATGTCCACTGTACTGCTCCATACAGTCTGGATTTGGGATTAGGGTAGAATGGGGGTGCGAGCGTGGGTGGCTTTATGACGTCTGAATTCTGGGCCTCGGGGCGCTCAGCCCTACCCGAAACCTAGAGGCTAGGGAGTTTGGGGAAGCGCCAGGTGGGACAGTGGTTAGCAGTTCGAAATCACCAGGACGCTGTGCGGGAGGATGAGGCTTCCTAATCGGAACCCACCAGGTAGTTCTCCCCTGTCCTATAGGCTCGCTATGAGTTGGCACCAACTGATGGCAGTGAGCAGGTGCTGGCACCCGGGCATAGCCCCGTAGTACGGCCAGGTGCTGCGAACGCCGCCCCCCGAGGACCCCCCAGCTGGAAAGCGAGTGGTTCGGTCCCATTGCCGCCACCGCACGGGGAGGGGCCGGGCCGGCGGGGAGCGCTCCAGCTCCAGTGGGCGACTCCACTCTCGGCGGACGCGGAGGGGGGAGGCTCAGCGCTCAGGCGGAAACCCACGTGCTCGGGTTGCGGGGAAGAGCCACCCCTTCGCGAAACCACGAGTGGGCGAGCCCGGTCCAGCGGAGC